TTTGTTTTGCTCAGACTAGCCTGCAGTGGGAGTTTTCTCTTTATGCATGCTACAGAGCGTTTTTATCAAGCGGTTTTGATAAAAAGTATCCTACAAAAGCCTACATCTCTTCTGTAAACTGTATTTTGAAACAAGCAAATCATACTCCCCTTTCAGAAAAACTGCAGTTTACTAATACAAAATATTCTTGGGCTGGAATTATTGAGGCCCTCTAAGGAAGTCAGGTGGTAGGTGCAGAGAGATGAGTGTAGGTGACTGAGCAATCTTTCTATATTTGTACTGATGTGATGTTACAGTGATGTTAGGAGCACTGCATTATTGGCAGAATTCAGTTTGATTTTGTTTGGTTTATTTTGTTTTGAATAAGGCAAACTTCATAAAATCTTGAATTTGTATAACTAGTAAGATTTCATGAGAGCAGATACTAGTGTTTAGTCTGAATCGTGATTAATGATGGCTTGTTTCTGCAAATTTCTAATTTCAGAGAAAACCACCTTAGGACTGAGTTTTGGTTGGGTTTATTTGCTGTTGTTTTGTTTGGTTGAGGTTTTTTTTGTGTGTGGCTGGGTTTTGTGTCTGTGTGGTTGGTTGGTTTTTATTTTGTTGCTAGCTCGTTAGATTAATGCCAAGCAAGAATTTACTGGATTATTCTGGAAATTAAGGAGACAGTCCCACCTCCCTTCCCCAGAATGAACCACCTGCAGAGCAGCAGGGATCTTCTGTCATATGACACTGTTGCAGCTCTTCCACTCTCGCATCTTGCTCACAGATGTCTGCTCTTGGTCAGTCACATTAAATGTGGATGACTAGCACACTAATGGCGCATCATTGCTGTAATTGAGCGGTGTTCTGATCCTTGAATGAAAGATATTTTAGACTTTTCATATCTGAGGGTGGAATCCTGTCTGTCTTCACTAAACTTAGTGGCACAGGTCCTGTTAAGAGGAACCAGGATTGCTTCTCATGCCTGCACTCTCATTCTCATCTGCTGCTGAAATCTTCTGATTAGTCCCACTGAAGGAAAGTCTTTATTTGTCTGCTGTGTCATAAGTATTCTTACTCATAATTAGTTCCATCTGTAAGGAGTAGCCTTTCATGTTAACTGTGTGTTCTATGAGGAATATTACTGTTTTTAAAATGAAGAGTCTGCTTAATCTAATGCACAACACGATCACATACTAGCTAAACAATGCTAAGACCACCGTTTCCTATGTCTACAACAGAATATCAGGCACTTGACCAAAATATTGATGACGTTCAGTTTAGTAACATGTTCAAAAAGTTTTTAATTAGCCACATGGTAGTGATTAATCTGTGGATAATGTTTTACCCTGCTGTGAAATAGCTCTGTTATTGAGCACGTACCTGATTAAAGGTTAATAAAAGCAAAAGGTTAATAATTCAAAGTAACTTAATCAGTTCAGTATGTTGGAAGACCAGGAGTTAGTGGGTTTTCTTCTGGAATCACTACAAAATTTATTCAAAGCATGTTAGTAATTACAGTCACAAAACCCATTAATAATTGTTTCTTTAAACGTCTGTATTTTTTCTGTGCAAAAAACCTTTGACCCGTATTAATACAATCTAACACTTACAAACTAACTTTAAATACTTGAAGAAGGTTTCCAGTTTAACACAAAGCAAATACTCCTTCATAGCTATTAGCATGTTGGCTTTTTAGTCCCATATATATTTGAGTATTAGCTGTGATAAAGGCTGTTTTTTAAGGAGAGCTTTACCTACCAGCCTCATTTTAGATGATCCATTTGCTGGTGAAATGCCACTTGGTAAGAGGCAATGTTCAGATTCTCAGAGTTCCCAATAGCCTTTTTCCCCTTGATTGCCTGTGGTCTGAGAGCATGTTAGCATGGACATATGAATAATTATGCTGGAAACTTGGATTAGAGGCTGTCTTACTAGGGAAAAAACTGCTACAGATACTTTATCCTTATGGTTTGACTTACATTTATGTTTTCAAGAATAGATAATTCTCAAATCTGAGAAAAGTGGTTAGTTCAGCATTTTTTACAAAAACTTTATCGTTTTATGAGTCAGTTGTAGCCCAAAATATTCTTTTCCCCAAGTTGGAATTAACAAATATGGAATTTACAGATTGGATTTAAAAGTTTTGTCTCTTTTGGTTTGCTTTCTAAAACTGATCCTTTTCTATGTTATATCGAAGTCTGACTCATATGTTTGTGTTATGTAATCTCTTTAAATACCACGAAGAAAACCCAACCAACAACTAAATTACTTTGGTATTCTGCAGTATTTTTATTCTATAGTAGGAATAAGTTAATTGGGGCCATAAAACGAGAGAGAAAAAGGAGTCTGTATCCTAATCCCAACTTTCAGCTCATACCCCAAAATAAATCAACAACCCTCTGAAGCTGAACTTAAAGACCGTAGTAATAAAGCTCTTAGAACCATCCACTCATAATACTGTGAATATATGGACAATAACTTCCCCCTCTGTTCTCATGCTTCTTGTTGCATGTTTCCATTATCTCTTTGTGAACAAGCTTATTGCAGTACCAGAGAAAAACTGCTGTTAACATGTTTTTTCATGTAGCTCAGGATTTAATTTTCCAAGAAGCAACTGAAGATGCAGGAGAAACTATTTTACTAGAAGCTAGGTCTTGTAAGAAAGGAACATTGATTTAAGATATGCAGCTTATCCTCAAGGTTTGGAGATTAATAATATCAGCATTTAGTGCGGTTGCTTAGTTCTTAGTACTCTTGCTGTAGAGTTTTTCAAATACAAGTACCCAAATGCAGATCAAAATATACTGAGGGGAAAATACCTGTGGGTCAGGCTGTGTATGTACTTATTAGTACTTATTTTTCTTCATTCTCTCCTTATGAACATAGGTATCTAAATGCTAGAGGATTTCCATCTGCACCACTGATGAAAATGCCAGCTTTCAGCGTTCGTTCTCAGTCCCTCAGCAACTGTGGTGCAGTAACCAGCGCCTTACATTAGTGATCTTATGAGCTGGCTGGTAACTATAACATGGGCTTTGGCTGGACTGCCCGTGACAAGCCCTTGTGAAGGGATTGGAGTTTGCCTGCAGTGTTTTGCCATCCCAACATTTTCTTTTAACGCTTTGCAGACCTGTGTGTGGGTCACTGGGGACTCTGAGAGGAGAGTCTGGGGCTGCCCCATGCTGGGTATGGCTACGGCTTAGATGTGTGTAGAGGAGTGTGAGACGAAAGAGTGAAGCTAAGCCTGGATGAAAGCGGGGAAACGGCTTTGGTTAAATATTGGTCTCTGTCTCCCACTTATCTGAATTTGTAGTTAGGTTTTTTAAATTTTGGTTGGCGATCAGTGAGTTTTCCCTAACATGAGTCTGGTTTGCCCACGGCAATAATTGGTACATGATCTCCCCAACTCTGTCTAGACCTGTGAGCTCCCTTGTTCCCCTTCTACCTGTTTGCTGACCCTGTCCTGCTGAAGGGGAGGGAATCTGGCTCTTACTAAAGGCAAGTTTACTATTGGTCTTTAAAACATGACACCATCCATCACGGATCATAATGCTGTTTTTGTTTAGCTCTGTGAAAGAAAGCTAGTTTAGCTTAGTAAACAATCTAGAGGGGAAGGAGTGGCTGGGAGCCTGCTTCCAAATGAAGTGTTGGGTTGAATGGAGAGTTGTACTTTAAAAACAAGCAAAACAAAATAAGGAAAGAAAGAAAAGAAAAAATTATAAAAGACAGAGACCTGCTTTGCAACCCTAGAAGAACTGAACAAGATTGGAAGAGTCATGGATGGGAAGCAGCAACAGAAATGAGTATGAGGAAAAGCCCTTTGTGACATGCTTTAGAATGTCAGCGACCTAATGGAAGACATTTTAGTTTGCTAAATAGGTTACACAGAGAAAGTATCAACCAGTTATCTGCTTATACTCTCTTGATTTCAAATGTTGCTCTTTTAAATGTGCTTTAGATCTTGAAAAATGAATGGCTTCTGATTAGCAGAAGAAAGGTAAGATACATAAATATGATGTCACATCTGATGAATATGTTTATTTTGGGTGGGAATGAATCGTTTATTTGGAGGAGTTTATAAAGGTTCAAATTTATGTTGCTTTTTTTAGTAGATGATTGTATATTTTACTGAATGACAACTTCTTTCTAGTTCTTCTAGCAGTCTCATTTTTGCAGTTAAGCTGCCTTTTAGTTTTCTGATCTAAAATGGGTGCTGAAATCTGATGTCTGGGTCTGATAAGCAGGAGAAATAATGCACATCCAGTCTAGCAGAGAGAATCCACAAACTCTCTAGGTGTCTTCTGGCGAAAAGAGAGGTTGTGTTGCTAGAGAAGGTCTCAGTGCTAAGGTGATGTGCAGGAGCAGAAGGGCACTGCTTGTGCAAACAAGGTATAACTAACTTGTGAGGGGAGTCTTTGTGAAGGAAGAACTTTACAGTTTGCAGGGTAATTACCTGGAGTTGCCAGGCATCATAATAGAAGGCAAGATATATCCAAGTAGAAAACACAAATCTTGTAGCTGGTGACTTTCTAGTTGGTTTTCATTATGTTATTTATTTTGTTTCTATGAGCCAAATAAAAGAAGCAAAAAATAACTCAAGTATGCTTTCAAAAAACCCCACACAATTTTAAAAATCTGGGTTTAGTCTTTCAGGACTTTTTATTTCCTTGGTCAGGTTGAATATTTTTTGTTTTATTTAGAGCCCTGAGATCCATCTTCAGCAATGAACAATTATTAACCCTATTATAGCTTTCTAAAAGTATGTAAATTCTCACTTTTGGATTTTGTATGTTGTTTCCACGTATTTTTTTTTTTCAGCCTTTTATACAGATGTGAAAGATACTTTAAGACAAGGGGGAAGACGTTTTGAGTTACTTTATTGATTTTAAAATAGAATATTACTATTTTCTGGTCATCGATAGAAAAGCTCATTTTTCCAGATGTACTTAATAAATATATCTGTGCAAATAAGGGCTTTCTCGGCTGGAAACTGAGAATTTTTGTTTTCTAAACAGGTGTCTCAATGCATGTACCTACTGCAAAACTAAGCATGCCAGAGGAGATCTAGCAAGTTACCCAGTTGAAGAACTAGTGAACAGAGCAAAGCAGTCTTTTCAAGGTAAGGATTTTATCGCTGCGATAAAAGTCAGCCTCTGAATTGTACCAGGTCTTATTTTCACACATAATGATTGTGATACAATATGGAAATATATGTATGGCCATATTCTTAATAGTTGTAACTGTGTCTGGTGGGGCCTTTGCAGTAAAAAGCCACGCTTATGTTATGTTGTGCACTCCCGTTTACAGACTGTAGTCCTGCCATAAGGAGTGTTTAATTTTGATTTTAGGCTCAAATGAAGTTCTATGCTTTTTTTTTTTTTTTTTTGTGATGATGGGCAAATGTTAGTATTCGGTCACTTACTGTATCTCTGGTTTCTTAAAGGAGAACACTTCTTTTTTACTCAAGAATAGAAGTAAGTTTCATGAACTAGCATTCTTGCAAACCCTGTTTAACGATACACTCTTTTTTCTGGCAGTGGATGTCCTGGAGCTCTGGAATGTTTCTGAGAGCCATACAAAGCTCATTAGCTTTTAAGCTCAATAGGATAATGTCACATAGATACAATAAAATATCAGAAGTTTTTCCTGCAGTACACTATTCTGTGCCAGTATCTACCTAAACCTCTTGTATGTCTGATAATTATGATAGCTTTCTTGTGCCTTAATTGTTGTTCTTTGTATGTACATTCTGATGGTGTTTCAAAAAATACTGATTTTCAAATAATGCTAATATTAATTTGTGATGCAATCTCTATGAAGGCATGGGTATAGGTTTTTTTTTTGTATTTGTATGACATGTGTGAAAGATAAATGCATATTTAACAAAATACTGAGGCATTTCAGCTGTGTCATCTCTTTACATCTCTGTATCAAATACTTTGAATTAAAAGTAGAGCAATAAATATGATGTGATTTCACAGCCTCTGTGCATGTATGAACAGTAAATGCGTTGGGTTTCACTTAAAGCTCTGAGTGTTGCAACTGTTCTAGTAAGAAGTAGGTCTCCAATGATTCACTGTGGTTTTAAATCCATCCTCATTTAGGGATCTTTAATGAGCCTAATTTAGGTCAGAGATGAATTTCTGTCTGTTCCTATCAGTAATATGAAAAGAAGAGTCCTTTTTCTAATCCAGGTCCATGTGTTTACAAGTTCCAAGTTCTGTGCTGTCCACACACAAAGCTCTTACTTAAGGCTGTAAATGCCTTTTTCTTTTGCATTTCTGAAAAGCCAAGCTCCTCCCTCTTCTTCCATGTAGCTTATCTGTTATTGCCACAAAATTTCTCCTGTTACTTAGGTTTGTACAGTTAATGCTGTTGTTGCTGTGAATTGAATTGTCCTGTTATGATAGACAAGAATGCTGTCATGTCTCAAATTTCTTGTTTTAAAAGGGCAGGTTTCTAAAACCTGCATGCATATTCTGAAATGGTCAGGAACTGAAATGGAAGATGTATAAATATTATTTAGGTGGAGAAGCAATTCAGGAAAAAATGTTTCAGAAGCTAGAAGTTTTCAGTAGTACAAGACAGGTGATTTTGAAATTGATAACTAGTTACTGTGCCAAAAAAAAATCTGTCATTTGATGGTTATGGTTGTTGTTATGCAATAGTTATTAGATACAGGTTAAGTGCCTGGTTATAACAAGAGATGTAGGTAGAAAAGAAATACTACATTCTTTTCTTTCATCCAGGTGTAACTCTGAAGTACTTTTATATTACCAGCAGCACAAGAATAGTGTTATTCTGATACCACTGTATACCTCTTGAAATGTTCTGAAGAAACTGAGCAATTCAGCAAAGGACTGTGATGAAGCGAAGGTATGGGCAAGAGAGTCAGGATTATGGTCTGTCTTAGGTTAAGTATTTAAACTTTATTTAGATGTATTGCATGTATGAGAAAAAAAATCAGACTTGTCTGTCCTATTACAGCTGTATTTACATACATATAGTCCACATCAACATAAAGATGTGTTTGCTTGATATAACAAGAAAGAAAACTTGAGTTTTGTTTGTCTTTGCAGACAAGAAATGTGAAATTTTGGAAAGTATTTTGAACTTCAAGTGTTGTACATTTGGATTGAAAATTCAATAATTCAATTCATCTGTTGTACTGTGGCCTTTATTATAAATATTGACTCTTTCAAAATAACTTGATTTCTAATGGAAAAACTTGCCCTTAAGCTATTGTTTTGAAATTTCTTGAAGAAATGCTATGACGTGTCTCACAGCAGGCATCTCCAGGGAGTTCTATTCTTGTTTGGCCTTACACTAGTACCTCTGTTCAAGGACGTAACGAAAGAAGCGAGTACTGAGTTGTAAAATGACAGGGTTTGCCTCCAGCTTTCACGTGTTGAGGCACAAAATACATGGAGGATTTATTACTGCCAGCCTGCTGCAGCTGGACTGCAGAAACTTCATCAATCCAGTGAAAGATATAAGCAATTCCAAGTCATTATTAGAGTTCTTGCTAAGTTATTGACCTGCAGTCTCTTCAACAATCACTTCTATTTTCTCGCAAGACATGTTGCTAAAGCTCTAGTGAAAAATACAAAGAGGTACAGATGTGTGATGAAAAGTTTTTTTACTTTGGAATTAGTCTTGGAAGAACTCAGGTGTCTTAGAAGAACTGCAGCAGAACAGTTATGTGATGATATTGTATGAGTGCATGATCAAGTCATGTAAGAAAAGAGAGACTGATACCATTTTCAGTGTTTTGTGTGAATATTTTCTTAGAGTACACAGCGATAGGCCCCAAAGGTGGAATGTTTCAATTGTTGCAACACACTGAAAATGAATCAGAAGAGCTGCATTTAAGGACGTCTTGTTACAGGTCCTTAATTCACAGCGCAAAAAAGCTCTCTAAAATGCTTTATTCAAGTGATCATAGTTTGATAAGATTGCGGCTGACATCTAGAAATGGTATTTCTAGCAGCTGTATGTTGCCAGCACAGGCTTTAGTGTTCTGATCAAATACTCCAACTTTTTTTCAGTCACTTCTGTACTGCCGTCTCTGGGTAGGTTGTCTCTGTGTAGAAAGTGTTTCCAAGCTGTAGTATATACTGCGTTACTTGGCTGCCAGCCATTTCAAGTAGTCAGTGGACCAGTCTTGAACTGCTAAGAACGTGGTACATCATAATAAGATACCTGTGTCACAGCAGCTGTATGGTGGTGCCTGGCAGCCATCACTCTTTGACTCTTGTCTGCAAGATGGCTTCTGAAGATTTTTTGAAACTCTTAGGCTTTTCAGTCAAAATTTTGCTTTATGGCTTCATTTAGCTGCTGCTTTTTGAGTTTTGCATACATTCTGTGGATAAGAAGGTATTTGCTGCAGTGTATTTTAGGGTCCAAACATTCATCTTTTGGGTTTTAAAGTTTAGTTTAAGAAATTTAGCTTTTTAAAAACAAAATGCAGTAGTCTGCTGAGAGTGGTAACTAGATGACAACAGATGACAAAGCTGTAATAATTTACATGTGTGTTCAGATTGTTTGTATAAGCATCAACTTGATTTAAATCAACTGATTAAAAAGAGATGTCTGAAATCATCATGACTGAACAGATACGAGCCTGTATCTTGTACTTTTCCAGCCTCTGAAACAGTTTTTTTTTTTTCTTTTTGAATTTTAATGTCTCCAATATAATGTACACAAAACCTAAGTGTGTTGCAGATTTCTATTACATGCTTCATACATTCATAATGTATTGGACTAAGTGTTAAGGTCTACTGAATTGTTTGCAAACTTCTCACGGGTTATGTCTCCAGCCTGATCTCTGTAGTAGTTTTGAAATTACCACTGACATCAACTTTAGTAATACACTAAATTTCTTCTTCTTCAAAAAAAATCTATCTGAAGTTGAAAGTGGACTAATGAGGTTTTTGCTGGTTTAAATTTTGATGCTTTTTCTGTAAATTTCTACTTGTGGTAACTAGTTATATAATTTTTTATGTGACCAGCCTTGTCAAATCACATTATGTGGCAGACTTCTGTAAGACAGGTAGTAAAAGTATTGCAAAATATAGTAAAGTGGTCTTTGAGTACAGAGCAAATGTCTGCTGTGAGGTTGTTTATTCTAAGAGGCTTTCTGCAGCTGATAGTACAGCACTTTCTTTGTGTCATCAATTTAGTAGTATGCTTTTTTCAACATGTTGTATCATGTTGAGTGCTGTATTTTAGGGAATTGCATTTGCAGTTATGAGAGAGCTCTTTCTTTCCTTCCCAAAGCTACTTTCTGTATAACAATGTGTTTTTGCTTAGTATATGAAGTGGAAGGCTGGGGTAGCTGCCATTGGTGAACAGTATTCCAAGGAGACACAAAAGTAAAACAAGCCTGAGCTTTGAATGTTGTGTGCAGTGTTGTCCTGGGACAGCTGTCGCTAAACTGCAAGACTTCAGAAAAGATTTTTTTTTTTTTTTCTTAAACATGATTTTGATGACCATAAAAGATACGTAGCTGATAACGCTACCTGGTGATTTGTAAACCCTGCATACTGTGACAGGTTTTCTGGGCAAAGGTAGTACTTCATATTGCAAACTTTTTTTTTTCTGATCTGGAAACTAAGTTAAAGATAGAAGTAGTTTTATGGAGCTGGCTGTTACTTTATTCCAGTTTAGAATTAATGTCTTCTGGATGTACCAGTGCAAAATTTTATTTCTTTAACATTGCATGCCTGTTGCAGATGGCAGGGAGTATACTGCTATTAAAATATACACTGTTATAATTACTACTATATTAGCTTATTTTATGGTAGCAGCCAGGGAGCTCAAATGAAAGTCATGTCCTTTTGGGAAACATTGTTCTTGTATCCTCAAAGCTATGTGGAGCAAGTGCTTCTGGATGAGTAATTGCAGTGACAAAATATAATTTATATTTATTCCATTATTTGCATGATGGTTCGCTGGTGTTCATGGTATTGAATTCTGAATAACACTTCTGTTTAGGCAGTCATGGACAAAATGTCGCATTGCAAAGCAGAGGAGCCATCTAAATGAAGACTCTGAGTCTCAACTTCCATTATACATCTTTATAATTATCCCTAATCTTGTAAATATGGAAGTGTTGAG